AAGCTGGGGTGTTGATCTGGGTCAGCTTTACTACAAATACTCTGCCTGGCTCGGTAGGGTTCTCCTGACCCTTGAGACCCAGTCAATGTAACTGTGAATTGGAGGCAGGAAACTCTGTCCCCAGGAGTGATTTTGAGAGATTCTGTTCGTGTCTTATTCACTGTGACATCATCAGTGCTTAGTAGACCACCTGGCACATAATTATTTGTAAAACATATACAACATTAAATAGTAATTCCAAGGCCAGACCAGTTCTGATGGGAGTATTGGGCTGTAAGTGGTTCAGCCTGTTCCCTGGTTACTTTGTTTCTATCCACATAAGCCCACTAGGTTAAGGCCAACTGGGACCTTCTCCCTTATTTATTTAGTTAGTTATTTACTTACATTGGAATATAGTTGATAAACAATATTATATTGGTTTCAGATGTGCAATATAGTGACTTGGTAATTATATACATTACTAGGGCCTTCTCTCTTCTTAAGGACACTTGAAGGGACAATCCTTTCTGCTTCACCCACCATTATTTTCAAACAAACCTGTTTGGTCCAGGACCTCCCCAAAGCACTGAAGAATGACCCCCAAACCTCCCAGTGAGGGGGACCACCCCAGAGCAACTGCCAAAAGAGAGGAAGAAGACTCTGCAGGTCCCAGCCAAACCCCTCACCCAAACTGACTGCAGAGCATCTGATGTGGCTGGTAGAAGCCTGGTTTTGAGCAGCCATTCCTGGAGTGCTGACCTTGAAATCCATGATAATACTGTCTCTTCTCAGTCACTCACTCCTGAACTGAAAGACAGAAGTGACTGTTCCCTACCATCTTCTTGTGGAAGACCATTGGGCAATAATTTTCATAATGAGTTTTGAAAACAAAGGCAAGAAAAACTAGTAATTGCATTAGGCAGAGTTTATAGGCTCCTGTTTAAAAGTTGTCCCTGGGAGATTATATTTCTCTCTGACTGAAACACATCACCTCCCTTATCAGCTGGCCTTGTTCCACTCTGGGATTCCCTGGTAAGTGCTCCTGCTTTTGCTCATCCTTGAGGGACATTGTGGCACATTGAAAGAGGATCTGTGCCAGTCGCGATGAACATTTACCTTTACATGTAGGACTTTTGCCATTCTACATCCAGGTGTTGAGCACCTACTATGTGACAGGCGCTGTAGTAGGGGTTGGAAAGGTGGAAGTAAAAGATGGAGCCATCAATAATTTTCAGCAAAAAAATGCTCTGTAGCACCCAGGAGTAACACCCAATCCAGACTATGGGTGGGTGGGTCTGGGATTGGAGGAGGAGTCAGCAAAGCCTTCCTAAAGTGAGTGGTGTCTTTGCTGAATTCCAAAGGATTCAAAGGAGTTAATTGGGGCAAGGATTTGGGAGTGGGTGAAAATGTTCCTGGTAGAACTAGTGGCATGCGAGCCTCTAAGTCAGTGTTTCTCAAAGGGGGTGCTAGTGGCAGTTTGAGGAGAGACATGTACTTGCATGAGACTCTCCCATGCATTGGGGTATACTTGGCAGCCCCGCCCACAGGCCCTACAGGTCAGTAGGACCTCCCCTCCCTGCAAACACACAATCAATATGACAGCCCCAAATGCCCCTTCATGTTTCCAAATGCATACTGCACCAGTTCACAGAAGCGGGGCATACCATTCCTGGTTGAGAATCTATACTAAAACAAGCATGGTGGCATGTCTGAGGTTCTGGAGTATGACTGAGGAGGATAGAAGGGGGAGAAGGGGCTTTACAAGATTAAGAGGGAATTCAGACCAGGGTAGGCCAGCAGCTCAGCTGTGGTTGTGGATTCAAGCTGCTCATCAGACTCAAGAAATACAAATAGGCTTTAAAGTAAACATGTATAATGATCTTATATGCCATCCTGAGGAGTTTACCTTCTAGAATGAACTTCCTTGATCAGGGATAGCTGGACTGTAGATAAACAGCTTTGGATTAAGCCTGACACATAATACATCGTCCATAAATTTTGGATCTCTATCTCCCAGGATCCTGCCAAACCCAGCTGAGTTCACACATGTCCTGTTCTTACGCATATGCACTTTCTGTATACTTCCTGAGTGCACATTGCAATCAGACTGGCTGATGACAGTTAACTCTTTAATGTCTGTTCACTGGGGAGAAACAGGGAGGAGCAAGATAGCTCCAAGAAGTCTGTAAGGTGTGCAGTGGCCTCAGTCTCAAGGATCTGGGACTCTGCTCTGCTCTTGCGGCCCCACCGTTGCGCTGCTCCAGGCCTCACTACCAGCAAACCCCACCTCAGAAGGAACGCCTGCTCTGGTTAACTTCTTGCACTTAGCACAGACACCACTCACTTTATGAAGGATTCTCTGACTACTCATTATATACCAACAGCCACTATCACCACCAGCCAGGGAGTAGCAAGGGGAAAATGCTATGGCCTGCCAATGCATCCTGTGGTAACCCAAGGCCAAGTTTTAAACAGTTGTGTTCATTTGCCAAGACATGCACTAAAATTGAGGCTGCATGTTCCTATGATAAATGGTGTTACATTTGTTAGGTTCTGGGCTGAGTCCTTCAAACCCACTTATTCATACATAGCTAAGCCAAAGTGATGAGGATATTTGGAACCCGTCTGTTCTGCATAATGCTGTTTCAGAGGAAGAGGTATCAGAAGCACATCTGATGCTCATTCATTCTATCATCACCTCAGGCTCCAGCCACAATGAACTACTCATCTCTGGCCTCCAAGCCTTTGCTGTGCTGTACTCTATGCCTGAATGCACCCCACTCCTGCCGGCTGGGGCATGTCTCTTTTACGGACTCCACTTCCTCCTCCTGCAGTCAGAGTGCAATTGCCTGCTTACTAATCTATCCCTCACACTAGACTGTGACCTTCCTGAGGGCTGAGAAACTGTTGCTTTCTTCTCTGTACCCTCAGTGCCTACTCAATGTCTGGCATGCAGTAGACATTCAATAAGCATTTATTGGAATGAATGATTGAATAAGTGAACCTGCTTTGACTACACGTCCAGCAACAAGACTAAGGATCTCTCCTCATTCTCCAGTGTCTTATGAGAGCAGATGTATTCTAGTTATGTAACCCAGAGTTTGGGTTGAGTGGGAGAACAGAAGGAGAGTCCAAGAGGATGTGCTGGGAGAGGGGTCAGCATTCACAAATTTGGCTTTGGGACGGGCCAGCAGCACAAATGAGAAGAACTCCTGTCACAGCAAGTGATGGCCTGTCGTAAGAAAATGGCATGGAGGTAGCCTGCCTGTATTTTCAGGAGTTGGTTCTAATTAAATTGTAAAGTTCTAAAACAGAACATATGTCCACCCTAACATCTGTACAGAAATGTCTAAAGCAGCATTATTCATAATAGCCAAAAAGTAGAAATAACCCAAATGTCCATCAACTAACAGATAAAATGTGCTATATCTATACAATGGAATGATTTTCAACCATAAAAAGGAATGAAATACTGCTACAATATGGATGAACCTTGAAAACATTACACTAAAAGAAGTGAAAAAAGCCAGACACTTAAGACCACATAATACGTGATCCCATCCATGTCCGCAGTAGGGCTTGAGATAGAAAGTAGATTAGTAATTGCTCAGGACTGTGGGAGATGGGAAGGTAGGGGGTAAACGCTTAACGAGTACAGGGATCCTTTTTGAGGTGCTGAAGATGTTCTAAAATTGGCTGTGGTACTGGACAATCTACATCTAAAGGTAATCCCCATCTATGAATATACTAAAAGGCATTGACTTGTACACTTTAAGTGGATGAATTCTATGGTATGTGTGTAAAGCTGTTAAAAAAACAGAACAAAATTTCTAAAGCAGGATATTAACCTGGGCTTTGAAGAACTGTGTGCCATCTGGAATAGCATGCCAAAATTGGCAAGTTCGTGCATTTTTCTGGGTCTGTTAATTTCACTGAATTCTCTACAACCTCCCTGCCCCCATCCCCTGCCAAAGGTAATCACCACTCTGCAGAATGGAGTGTCCCTTCTCAGGGCTCAGTGCCATGCCTGACCGCATGGGAAGAATGGGGGTGGATATTAATGTAATCAAATATACAGATGAACAGTTTTATTGTTTAAATAAAAATCATGAGGGTCCTCATTTAAGCTAGTAACCAAAGAACAGAAGGCAATATGATTCCTTGCCTCCATTGCTGTAGAAAAGAGGATGATTTTGAATTCCATTCTGATATGTAAGTTTTTTATTTTAAAGTGTTATTTGTAATATGAGGAGCTAATTGTTTTCATATGGCTACTTGCTGATCGTTTTTAAAATAAGTTTAATGACTTGGTAAGAAATCAAGTTATGGGTGTATGTAAGGCTGGTCAAGTTTCTTAACCTTTCACTGAAAACTTCTTCAAGAGAAAAACATCAGGTTCTGTTCATCCCCTGGAGAAAATTAACATGAACGTACTATATGATTTTACACCGAATGATGAGAGCCACGTTAAGTAGAGAAATGCCATTTACATTATTTGACTTTGAGGAACTGCATTGTATAGAGCTTTTTCTGGGTAAATACCAAGAGGGGGGATAGCAGAGGCTTGTTGAACTGGGAAGTTTTGTATTTGTAAGAACTTGTGTTTCTGTTTTGAGCTATTTGAAGCCTATGGACATGGACCCTCCTTCCTGTTATTCACTGAAGGAAGAGTGAGCTCTCACCCCTACCCAAAACACTCCTCTAAATTTGAACTTTCCATACCGAGGTGCCCTGTACCTAGTTTTCTTTCTAGACTCTATTCTCACTGCATCCCCCTTGCACTTATCAGCACATCTTCTTGCAAATTTGCGACATGGTGCCTGTCCTGGCTGTGGGTGCGGGGAGACGGGCGCTGGTTGCCTCACCCTGGGCTAATTGTGCATTCCCTCTCTGGTGGTGGACCTCAGCGGTCCAGCACGAGAGCGTGCGAACAGCTGACTGCTGACTCAGAGGGGAGAGCCAGCCACCCACGAATCTCGTTGCAGCTCGCTGCTGCATCCCTATCCCATAATCCCTTGCTTGGTTTGCTGCAGTCTTTTCAACAGACGCTGAGTGAGAAAAAGATGTCCTGTAAGATAAAGATTGATTGGTTTAAACGCCGAGAGGGGTCTCCCACTTGTTAATGATCCAGAAACATTCCTGCTGACTTCCCTGAGCCTTCTCTCATTTCCTCCATTTTTCTCTTCCTCTGTTCTGTTCATGAACTGGCACATCACTACAGAGAGCAGAAGATATGCTGGGCTTCTGATGATGGCTGCACTGCATGGTAGGGGATTTCAACCAGTCTCTTTGCATGGTGCTTCCAAACTTGAGATGTTAGCAGAAATGTGCATTGTTCTTTGGAATTGCCGCCGAGCTGCCGCGACAGGCTTGGGAGGATTTAATTTCTTTGCCTCGTTGATTAGTCTGTCTGCAGAAATGGGTAGGTCCTAAACGTTCAGATTACGTAGTATTGTGCCAGGTGGATAACTGATTTCTCTTGCTTTTTCTGTTCTGGCTTTTTTACGCCCTCTCTCCCTTGGTGATGATGCATGCTTTGTAACTAAAGATAGAGACCTGCCCTTTGCTTAAACAAAGGCACCACATTAAAAATAATAGGGAGAAAGTCGTGCGAGATTGTCTTATCAAGTTCCTTAGGTATCTGATGAGAATTTCATTTTTACTAGTCTTTATTTTAATGTGTCTCGGCTTATTTCAAATGGATGATTTTTTCCCCCTGCATCTCTCTGTTGGGTAGGAAAATGGGGATGAAATATTTAATTTGCAGGATTCCTTCCTAGATACCCCAGGGTGGAGGAGAATGTGCGACTGGACCCTTCCCCCACCCTGTCCTCCTCAGAGAACCCCGGGGTTGAGTGCCACGGTTCCCAGTTACCATTGGAAACCCATTCATTCATAATGCATGACTCGACCTTCTGAATTCTCAGTGCCATTGATGATCAGCAAATATGCAGGAGATGATTTGGGGTTTTTTTTCTGACATATTTTCCCCTGCTTTTCAAGTAGACTCAAATCTGGGTGGAGTTCAGTAGTAGCATTACACAGGGGGAAAAAAATCCTCAGTTTGGACCTTAGGTTTGCTTCTTGAAATAATGGATTTTATTTTTGTACCTGAGAGCTCTTTTTTTTTTTTTCACAAGTATGCCCCACCCTGTCATTATTACTCTTTAATTTGAGAGAATAGGAGAGCACGTGGAAGGGCTATTTATTTTAAACTAAAAATTGAATGTTAATAAGTGGATTTCTGAATCTAAAGGTTAATAAAGTGATACTTCTGTCTTAAGCAAGGATGGTTTCAATAGCTTTAAGGAATAGATGTAGATTCAGAATGAGGCATTTAAAAATTTATTAGTTTGTTTCTTTGGCTTAGATCATATTATGGCATTTTTATTCCTCCTGAATAAGTTGTTAGAGGTTTTTGTTTCTGTTTTTTTGTTTGTTTGTTTTTAATCGGAACATGTAAGGGGAGCCATTTGCTTGCCCAGATTCCTAAATTGATTTATTAAGTTATTAGGATTCAGTGCTGCCTGGTGTGAACCTATTTTCTGGTGCCTTTCATTATTTTCTGGCAGATGCTTTAGCAGCACCATTCAGAACTCACTGTAATGCTAAATAATGCACGCCCCTCCCAAGCAAGCTCACAATGAGAAGTTTCATGTGTTCGGTGGTAGGAGAAAGCAGCTTTCTATTGTAGAGATGTGAGAACAGTGGCCTTTCTTAAACCTCCAAGTATTTTTCTCCTAGAAAGACACAAGTGATTTGCATGGGAAGGTTAAATAAGAACATGACTGAATATGTAAAGATGTTCTCTGGTAGAATGTTCTGTGTCAAGAAATATGAATGCAGCATAGATAGCCACACATTTTAAAAATGGAGAATAAAATCTGTACACATTTTTCACTATAGTTAATATTATAATCCTGGGAGGACTTAATTTTTTTATTTATATGATCAAAAAATGGATTTTGTTGCTTGTGAAATAAACTAAAAATATTCTTTCTCTTGCTAAGAAATGCTAATATCCTTCATTTGGATATCATTAGACATGAATTTCTCCAAATTTAGGATTTTCTTTTATCTGTATCAAGTAGGAAAAAAAATTCTAAATATGTAGCAATTAAAAAAATTTAGCGGGGCTTAAATTTTAAAACTCATTTGTGTCTTTTTGCATTCTCTCTCTGATAAAACTAAAACTTTAAACATTTGTATGTGTTATTGAAGTGTATAGAAGAGAAATACTTTCAAACTTGAAAAAATTTGCTGTCCAACTATTTACTAGGCAGTTTTTTTTAATGTGACTCAATTACCTGTAACTGTGGCAAAGTTACAATTTGCACACACCTGTAATTGTTTTTTTAAAAAAATATGTGATGCCATCTGTGCCCCTTTATTATAAAAGGGTTTTAGTGTCAGAGTAGGCTTTGCTCTGTAGTGAGGTTTGCTATTAGGGCTTTCTGATATTGTTATTGTGCAGGTTGTCTGAATTTAATAGACCAGGTTTCCTTCTAGAGTTTGAATGTTTAGGTTAACCAGATACGGAAGAAAGAATGAGCCCAGTGTTATTGGCATAGCATTGTTGATGGAGACCTTCCTTCCTGCATATTGCACGCTGGTCTTTCTATCCTCTTCTACTTCGCCCTTTTCTAATGGCCTCCGTTCCTCCATTAAGTGCTTCTTACTGTTCTTGAAAGCATACTGGCTTAAGTAAGTGTGTATTCTAATCAACAGCAGAATTAAATAACATGCTTCCTATCCACCAGATAGGTATAAAGGGATTTGCTATTCCTTAGGCCTGTACCTTTTGCAGTTCTGATGTAGAATAAATGTCTCTTCCCCTTTCTGGCTAGCCTTGTCCTGCCCCCAGGGCTTGGGGCCTTGGCTGCACTCTGCCTTTTGTGGTCCCAGAGTGCTCAGCCTCTTTGTGTAGACCCCAAGGAAAGCAAGGGACCCAGCAAGGTGATGCTGTGGGGAGGGAAGTTCCCACTCACCTGGACTGTCCCAGGGTACTGTAAATGAGAGGCAGTGCGCCTGGGCACTTAACACTTTATCACACAGCCTTCTGGAATTCAGCAAACTCAAAGCCATTCTGATGGCCTGACAGCAAACAGTGGGGACTTTTATGAGGAAGGCAATGGTAAGCAGTTATCAATTCTAAGGAGAGAGGTAGGGGAAATAGGCATAAGTATCATAAAGACAAGGTAAGGGCTTGACCTGTGCATCAACTTCTGGATGGTAAAAAAATAGTCTAGGAAACCTGTCACACATCTGGCTCTGGGAATAAGGAGAACCCTTGGAACGCTCAGGCACATCATTGCCTGGAGACTGCAGTTAAAAGTGGATGGCCCCCTCAGCACCCCCCAACACACACACACACACACACACACACACACACATGCACGCACACACTCTTCGCTCGCTCACATACATACTGTCAGGGAAGATATTGCTTCCCGCCTTCTAATTAGAAAATGGCCCATTTGGGATAGAGGCTTGATTTAACTGGAAATAGGTCATCCTGTTTCAATTTCCCTGAAGATTGTCCTCTTTCTTCTAGCTGAATCCTAGTAACAGTGCAAATGCAATTGTTGCTGAATGGTAATATGCCCATAGATTTTAAAAACTAAAAATGCCTTGTTTCTTTAATCATGTAGTAGTAACCTGTGCCTTGAGCTCTAGGTACCACCTGTCCTTGCAGGTAAAAGGTAGCATATTGCGAGTTACAGAAAATCCTAATGGTTCAAGATTTTCTTCCTATTAATGTACTGGAAGATTTTTAACTTCTTCAAAGGCTGATTTTAGCATGTCTATACCACTGTCACTGGCCTAAGAACAATAAAAAAATGTAAGTATATTAATAAATAAATTCAGCTAAGTGGCAACAGAAAGAAGCTTTTTTATTTCACCCAGGAATGCCATAAAGTTAAACAATAGGAACTGAATCTAGTGCCTTTAGAATGATGGATAATCAAATATGCTGCCTCAGAGTCACAAATCACATGTTAAAATTTTATTTTCCAAAGGGATTTGACCTGTTTCCCAGCCTTGTTTCCTAGCCCGGCCAGACAAGTTTTTACCAACTCTCCCTTTCTCAAGAGAGTGCTTCCAGTTTGTCTTCCCTCTTCCACCCTCCCTTCTGCTCTTCCTCACACTGGTGTCAGCAATAAAGACTTTTGATAGCTTTCGGATCCAACTGGTGTAATTTGGGGTGGGAAATACGGTCTCAACCTTAGAATTGTGAATGCAGGCATTTTTCTTTCATCTCATCTCCTCCTATCAAGTTCTTCTTTTCCATTTGGTTGTAACTTCCACCAAGTGGTACAGATTGGAGACAATGAGCTAGGAAAAATACCAGAGATGACGTGAGGAAAGAAATGTTGGGACAGGATTTTTCTGTGCTCAAGATTTTGTCATGTGATGGCTGCATTGTTTCTACCCACAACAAGCTGTGGTTAGTTGGCAAGCCCCTCCTAAGAAGGCATCTTTGTGTCAACCTTCTTAGACTTGTTTTCATGTCTATGTGTCCTCAGTAGTTCTCAAGTTCTTTTCCTGCATTTGTGAGTGTGTGAAAATAATTTACCGTCTGGGGATGACGGTGTATGTTACTACGCATAAGACTGTCACATGGGGAAGGCAGGTAATGTCTGATGTCAAGTGAAAGCATTCACATGACTGGTAAAGACCATCTTCTTTATCACATAATTCAGCAAGTGCTGCTCTTTTCTCCTGCTGAGTCCATTCCCTTGTTATACTTCATTCTTTCAATTCAAAAAGTGAATGAGTATCTACTATATACCAGTTGCAGTTCTAGGTGCTGGGACAATTGCAATGGACTATAGGACATCAGTCCTTGTCCTCGTGAACCTTACATCCTCATGAGGTGGGGAAGGAGACAATATGCTAAATAAATGCATTACATACCATACTGGAAAGTGACTGGTGCTATGGGAAAAAATAAAGCAAAGACTGTGTGGGGTGGGGGTAGCAAATGCCAGGGGACTGGGGGCATGTTTCAGTTTTAAGCAGAATGGTCAGACTGAGAAGTGCTGAGAGCTGGAGAGGGGGAGTGGACCCCTCTGTAAGTGGGGTTGCTATTGCTTTTCCATCCACAAGGAACCCTGCAGTCTCCCCACATAGAAGAGCTCTCATAGCTGTTTCATGTCAACATCATGCTTATGCTGGATGTTCATCTAGTTTTTCAAAATGGTTCTTCCTGTCTGCTCTTCTCTATTAGTTTCTTCCTCTTGGGCTTTTGTCCATGTGTCTGGTGCTAGTTCCTGTATCCAAAAGCATCTTTGGGGTTCCCTCAGAGGCAAAGTCCACCCCAGATGTGTTTTCACATGGATCTCTTCAGAAATTAGTTTTGCAGATCTCCAGCTGAAGGGTAATTCTATATGCTCATATCTTTTGTTATCATGCACTTATTTCTGCCATCTATGGGAGTAAGAAGGGTCTTTCTGATACTTAAGAAACCAAGATGGGGAAAGGAGAACACCCCAGAATCTAGATAAGTATTTATTGCTTCTCTAATCAAGGAGACCAGAAACCACAGTAGGGCCCACACACTTTGATTAAAGCCTGTTTTGTATTTTGTATATATTCCTTGCAGCATAGCACACCGATGGAAGGCTTCCCACAGTGCTTATGAGCACATTCTGTGCCTCCATTTTTCTAAGCACATTATCCCTTTAGGAGTAGTCAAATTGTCTTTCTGTTGTGGGTATCCAGTTATATTGGGGGAATGATCGTTTTCCTGGCAAAGTCTGGGTTTGGTGATCTCTGGGGGTTGGAAATCTTTTGTGTTGATTCTGGGAGTCTTGAAAATCCAGATGTCTGCAACTTGTCACTTGTGACAGATTTGTAATATTGTCATGATTTTAAATTAGTGTTAATGAGTAAACTTAATTTACCATATAAATTACCAAACTAACAAAGGCTTACTATCACCCACTATGATAATTATCATAAAATTAGAATGAAAATTAGAATGAAACATTTTTATTTCAGCCTTGGAGAATAGAAATGTTGGCTCAGGAAATTTCATTTACTCAGCATATATCATTTGATTAAAAAAAAGTTTTTTCCTTGCCAAAAATCCAAAATTCTAAGGTTAAAAAAAAAGTAAAATTCTATATGATGTTCCTCTCTGCTTTTTTCAATACTCAGCATGACTGATTATTTCAAAGGATAATATGAAAAATTTCAGGAGTTATTCAAAATAAAATTATTTTTAACTGATTTTCACTGAAAAGTTCAATGTAATTTTTAAAAAATATGGAATGCTTCACAAATTTGTATGTTCTTTAATGAATTTAATGTTGTATGTGCTCAAAGGCCAAGCCAATCTTCTGTATCATTCCAACATTAGTGCTGCTGAAGTGAGTATTCTGATTTTTATAAGTCACACACACACACACACACACACACACACACACACACACACACACCAGGAAAGTGTTAAACTTGTTTAAGCTTAGGTTTCATGGGCTTATCAGATAAGGCAGAAACTTTGAAATCTGAGCTTTCTGATTTCACTGATTTTACTGGATGACCTTGGGCAAGTTATTTAAAACCTCAGCTTTGGTTTCCCTGTCTTAAAGACAGACAAATCCATTCCTTCTCTATTCTGATGTCATAGGGGTGTGGTTAAAGAAAAGCAGGTGATATGCCAACATTTTGAGCTCCTGAGAGAAGAACTACATTTAATCCAATCATGAATATCATTCTCTACTCTAGTTCTTTAGGGAGACATCCTATGAAAGTCTAGCAGATAATGCTGGCTAATTAGATCCGTCCCACCTATACCATTAAAGGTTGTGTTTGCACGTGACACTTTTGCAGAGCGGGTACTTTCATAGGTTCTGTCTGTTTATGAATCATGTTCTTTAATGAATTTGTATAGAAGGTATAGAGTCGGAAAGTGGGTGTGTTATATATGTAACTATACTCACATATGTTTAAATAGAATTTTCTTAACAAATGTGGACATTCTTTTTAAAAATTCAGTGATTTGGTGGGGAGAAAGAAGCATTGTCATTGATATTTGGAAAAGAGTATTTATTTTAGAAAATAAATTTGTTTATCCCATAAATACAGTGTATTTTCAACTTCAAACATAGGGCCAAGTTAAAATATATAGTATATAAGCCAAGCTTCCATTGTATAGCCTTCTGTCTTGCCAGTGGGTTGCCTTGGATTTTCAGTGTGACCAAAGAAATGACAATAGAATGTTCTTGGGGTGAAAGGGTTATACCCAACTTTATTTCCATGGTGGCAGGTCAATCACTAAAATCCCGTTCACTCAGAGCCAGTCTGCATGCAGCAAGCCCGTGTCTGCCTCTGGGCCACTCCGCCCCGACAGCCATCCTTTGGCTCTGTCCTAGGCACTGCCACCACTCCAGCCTCTGCTCTGCTCTCCTGAAGCCTTACAGCCATGCCACCGTGTCGCCCAGAGCCCTGGGCAGGGCTCTCTATATGGAGTCAGTAACGACCATTGCCCACACATGGGTGGAGTGAGCTAGCCCACCAGGGCCAGGTGAGAATCCTGGCCACAGGAATCTTCATTTTATTCACACCTTTAAAACACAAGGTCAAGGAAGGTGTGGTAGTTTAAAGAGGGAAAAGGACATGGGTTTTTGCATTCTGGCAAACTTCTTAACTAAGCCTGGTTTTAAAAAAATCTATCCAGTGAGGCTATTACCTTCTCCCTAGAGTCATATTGAATATTGATTATTTATTTTTTTTGCAAAGAATATTTCTCCTGGGGATTGGAGGGTGATAGGCACCTAATGAGATATTTAGAAAATCAGGAAATGACTTAACTTAGCTCGGCCTTGGTTTACTCCTTTGGGACAGAAGTCAGAAATTCTTTAAGATGATAAATGGAGCTGGGTTTTATTGTAACTTTTCCCTTCCTAATCTCTCATAGGCCCTCTGCTTTGTTCTCTGTTACCCTTTTCTAATTCTCATTTTCTGGCACAATCCCTCACATTTTGAACCTCCTATGCATTAATTCACTTCACCAGCTCACATGCTCACACATGAATACTAACAGACATTTCTTGAAAATAGGGACTACCTGGAGCCTTTATCCCTGCTCCATGGAAAGTATAGTTTAGTATAAAATCTACAAACCTTTAGTCTGAAGAAAACACTCTGAACCGCATACTGAGTTTTTCCTTACAAACTCAATATCATTCCATTCCTGCATATTAACAGTATGTAGGGAAGGAAACCCTTTTTCTCTACACACTTAAGTTCTGTACCTGAAGGCTGTGAATTAAACTGACAAAAGGTAGATTATCAGGTGAAAAACATGTAAAAAAGTTATTGATATTTTCTTTTCCAAATTAAAATATATACTGCATTTTATTGAACTTTATGTATTTATTTATTACTTTAAATTTTACATGCATGGAAGCTTTATAGAAAAGAAGTGAAAATCCAAAAAGGCAGTTAGACCAGGGTAAACATATATATATATTTATATACTTTATTATATACTTATATTCTATTTTAACAAAGGACCACGAATTGTGGAGAAGTGACTAGACAAAGGAAAAGGGACTTTGGACTCCTAGGGACAGGAAATTGCGTGGGAGAAGTGACCAGGAAGTGTATGATCCATGGGGTTGGACTGTACAGTTTGTTAAGTGTGCTCCTCTCAGTGCCATTTCCAGTAAGTCTTCTCCTTTCCCTGGCATGTGAGAGTGGGGCCCCTTTGCAAATGGAAAATTTATGCCTTGGTTGAAGGCAGATGGGAGAGAGCAAAGAGCTCCTTCCTTGTCTGTTGTATTTCAGTTGCCTTCAGCTCAAATTAATCCGTATGTCAAAGTGGCATATTTTGGGGTGGTATATTTTGATCTCCTTTAAGTACGATAGCTGAGAAAGTATATTCTATTTTAATAAGACTATTCTATTTAATACAGACCATAATAAGACTATATGTGAAAAAGACTGCAAATATATACTCAAAAAGAGTCATGGCTCAAAGTGTGAACAGGCACAGCCCAAGTAACCCCTCCACTGCCACTGCTTTGAAACCCTTCGTACAGCACACCTTCTTCTAATTCGTTTTGTGTGCATGGTAAACATGGGATTGTTTTTCATTTTACAAAACAAACAGGCAGCTCACTGTACTCCCTCTGTTGCAATGAAGGTTGGTTATGGCTATTTTGAGGTCACTGACATAGAATTCTACCTATATTTATACCACACTGCCAAGTGAATAAGCCAGTAATTGAATTGCACTTATACATTATGATTATTTTCCCATTTTGACTTTTCTCTCTGACAGCAGCAACGTGCAGGGTCAAAGACAGCCGGCCCCCCATGTCAGTGGTCTAGGATGGCCAGTGACGCCACCAACATCCCAAGCCCTGTGGTGCGCCAGATTGACAAGCAATTTCTGATTTGTAGTATATGCCTGGAACGGTACAAGAATCCCAAGGTTCTCCCCTGTCTGCACACTTTCTGCGAAAGGTAAGCCCCGTCAGTGCTCGGAGGAGTTTCATGGACTGATCACACAAAGCCTGCCAAAGTATTCTTTCCAGAATTCTGCAGTTATCTGTGGGAGATGGTAAATCTTTTGTGCTTCTGACTGACATCTAGAAACATAGTCATGAGTTGCCAATGATTTACTTTTGTTTCAAACAATCACAAGTGGGAAAAGTAATCAGTAGCTACAAATTCCATTTCTGCAGGAAACAGAGGATTAAATATTTAAAATTTTTTTTAATTAAAAAATTTTCCCTTTGTTTTTCATGAAACAGTTTTGCCAACCACACAGTTCCTTACAGAGGGTCTTTGGTGAGGACCTGTTAAAAATCTATCATTTCCTCCCATATAACAAATCAGGTAAATACTTGCATATATGAGGAATTAGTTAAAAGGAGAGAGCTTCCTTCCAAAGATACTTTAGAAGACACATACTAATGGCATTGTGAGGTTTCGGATGAAGAAAAAAATTATATATATGAAATAATTATAAAGTACTTGAATATGCAATATGCTATATATGAAAACACACTTCTGTATTTATCCTTCATGAAAAGCTTTTTCCATTGAGTTAGTTCTCCAAATACACCTTTACCCTCTTGTTTAACTTAGCACATAAGCAATCAAACATAAAAAGTTTGTTAGTAAGTAGTTTATCTGTGGCCTCATTTAAATATTTCCCTAGTATTTTTCTTAGAAACAAATATGATAATGATCTATAGTATTTTCTTAAAGGTATTTTATGTTATTATTTAATACACATAATTAAAATGCTCTACTTCCTGTTATGGAACAGGAAATTAGTATTTCCAATGGCTTCAAGTCAATGCCAGTTACATTTACCATCCAATTTAATACATATTTGTTAACTGATTGAATGTGCTTTGAGTTGATTTACTTGAGAGGTTCTCAGTTGCAAAAAAATAACCACATCCTTGGCAGGTGATTGATGGAGAGAGAAAGTAGATTTGTTCTTGGTGTTTTGTTTGCTTTTTGAGGTGTTACGAGGTTTTGTGTGTGTGTGTGTGTGTGTGAATATAGTTTTTGTTTGTTATAGTGGTGGCATATAGGACACCAATACATTTTACCGTATTCATTTTACACTTTGGTTTAAGCACTTTGTAATTCACATTCCAAATGACTGAATAGAGAATGATTATTTTCCCCCTCACGCAGGAATACCAGGTAATTGCCCGTGCCTCCTCAGGCTCATGTGGTAAGATTGTTTGCTTTGCAGCAGTTGACATAGCCGGGCCCTCTTCATATCCAGTGCTGGGAGCCCTCAGCGTGGCAGAGCTGCCCCATCCCTGTGTTCAGCACCCACTCAGGCTCCTGTTTGGCCTCCACTCCCTTGCTCTGCTGGGTGAGAGGCAGCACTATGGTCTCCTTTGCCCAGGTGGCTCTAGCCTGACCCATAGCCCTTCCTCCATCCAATAGCTGGTGACAGAGATTTTCAAGATCCTATCCCAACAAATCTCTGTGGAGTGCAGGGTGCTAAAATTGTTTTAGCATCATGTGCATTGAATTACTTTCTCTTCAAGGTGCTGGTGACTTTCCTTAAAATGGGAATATTTTGTTCATGTGTAGACAAAACTTCACAGCTTATCTTACTGTCAGGAGAGTGCGTCCTGGGACCCCTTAACTTCCAGCCCCTGCTGGGCATGCACAATAGCTACTCAGTGAGCGTCTTGACAATCGCTGTCATACTCACATCTTCCAAAATGCCATCAGTGGGCCTTGGAAGGAGAGCAGAACCGGAGTCCTGGGCTGGTGCAGAGTATGGCCTAGTGGACTAACCACCTAATCCCTCAGATTAATATGAAATTGAAAAAATGACAAGTGCTACACACCGTAAGTGCAGGGGCAACCACACATAGGGGAACTTGCTCTAATCAAGGAAGGCTTCCCTGCAGAAGTAATAATTAAACAGAAATCCAAAAAGATGAGTAAAACTTAATTTAGCAAAGGGCAGTACATGGGAGGGAAGAATTACAGGTATGTATATTCAGCTGCTGTAGTGAGAGGGACCAGGACACTTTGGAAAAACTTACATAAGCCCAGCATGGCTAATGTACAGCAAATAAGGGAAAAGACAGAAAATATGCAGGTGCACATATATGCACATAATCCATTTTACCCTGTATGGATTCTTGTTGAAGTTGCAAGAGCAGTGGAAGCCATGGAGAATCTTCATCTTAGAGATGAGGGGGAGGAGATTTAAATGGTTAGTTTTGAGGAGGTCACTGTGGTTGCAATATGGAGAAGGGTTAAAGTGGCCCCGGGTGGGTGACAGTATACCAGGTACAGAGTTACTGCAGAAACCTAAGAAAGGGTGGCCTAATGCAGGTGAAGAGAACTGGAGAGGTTGGGAAGATATTTGGAAGATATTTCCAAGCTTTGGATGTGGAAAATGGAGGACAGTATGGGAATTACTGTTTTAAGAATGTCTTCCAGTTTCTGGTTTGCTTAGATGAATGGATGGGGCTGCCGTTCCTGGAGGACACTGTTTGGGGGAAGATCATAGGTTTGATTTTGGGCATGCTGAATATAGGACCTCTGAGGCACCTAAGAGGAGATGTTGTGAAAGCCGTTGGTGTAGATACGGGGCTCAGAGGAGACCCCTGTGGGAAGGTATGTAAATAGGAGTATTAGGCTTACAGCCCTGGACATGGATATAATATTCCAAGGAGAGAAGGGTGCTGACGATGGAGACTTGATTAACTCCAAACTGTATTGATTCAGTAGAAAAGATAGATCAGGTAGAAGGGGAACCAGGTGGATGTGGTGTCATAAGCCAAGGGACGACAAAGTTTCAAAAATGGGGAAGCAGTGGTCAAGTTTAATGAATACTGGGAAGTCTAGTAAGATGGGACTGAAAAATATCTTTTGGATGTCGATGTCATTAGTGACCTTAGTAAAAGAAGCTGTTTCATTCCTGGTATTGATTCAGCACTAGTTTCCTTCTGTGACATAGGGAAGGTTGATTGACTCGCTTGATGTCAGTTTCCTCATCTATAAAATAAGGGGAATGGGGCAAAATCAGAGGTTTTCAAATTCTGTTTGGCCAGGCCATGAGAAAATATTGTATAGCGTAGTTGTGTAGAGCTTAGATTCTGTGGCCAAATTGCCTGGGTTTTAACTCCTGGTCTGCCTCGAGCACCTAAGAACCAAGTAACTTAGCCTCCCTCTGCCTGTGTTTCCTCATGTGTCTAAAGTACCATCTTTATGGGTTATTGGAAGTACTATGAATTTAGTGAGCAGTGTATGTATTAGTCATTATTAGCAATACATTTTGTTAGTTAAATGAATTAAGTGGATGCCTGTGGAGAGGCAAGCAGAGATCCTGTCAGTGTCCTGGGTGTCCCATCCCTGCTGCAAGGAAAACATTTCCACTTTGATGTGTTTCCACACCTGAGACCTGCTTAGGATTTTGTATGTAAAAAGCATTTCCACTCTAACAAAAGAATTTCACATGTTTCTCACAATAGTAAAAGTTCTCAAACTCCTGAACATGATACCAGATAGTCTAGACCAATGCTTCTCAGCTTTTAATGTACATACAAACCACCTGGGGATCTGATTCACTGGGCCTGGAGTGGGACGTAGGATCCTGCATTTCGTCCTGGCTCCCAGGTGAGGCTGGCACTGCTCATCCAGGGACCATACTCTCTCATGTGTGACACAGCACCAGACACCACCCCCAAGTCAATGGCATCATTCTTTTCTTTCAGCATAATCATAATCATTTGCTTGATCAGTGGACAGAGCCAATGTGAGTGCGGATTACCTCTTGGTTTCTGAAATAATACTTTCCTAGTAAAGAAAACTACAAAGGGACTTTGGGCATAGCAGCCCCTAGAGCGCTAAGACCGGTTCAGTACCTCTGAGAAGTGGTGGTTCTGCTCTGTGAGCCCCTTTGTGCTGACAGTCTTCCTGCTTTGCTTCTGCGGCAGGTGCCTGCAGAACTACATTCCTGCCCACAGTTTAACCCTCTCCTGCCCAGTGTGTCGCCAGACCTCCATCCTGCCCGAGAAGGGGGTGGCCGCGCTCCAGAACAACTTCTTCATCACCAACCTGATGGACGTGCTGCAGCGAACTCCAGGCAGTAACGCCGAGGAGTCCTCCATCCTGGAGACAGTCACCGCCGTGGCTGCAGGAAAGCCCCTCTCTTGCCCCAACCACGATGGGAATGTAAGTGAGTGGACTGCAGACACTGACTGGCAGCATGACTGTCTGGTCCAGGCGGCTTTGGGTGGTCAAAGTTTATACATTAAAACAGAACTACACATGGAAAATGAGTCATTAAAAAAGATTTTTACCAGCCCTCACACTATTTTGCCTGCTTTCTCTGACCCAATTTATTTAAGTAAGAAAATCAATCTTCACTGTGTCTACTTAGCACATATCGTTGGTTTTTCCAGAGAGCAAATCCATAACTAGTTGCAAAGTGGACATACTGTGACCCACACAGACATCTGTGCAATAAATTACCGGTAAAGATTTAACAGTAGACAAGTTTTGCAAATTGAGAATGATTATTAAGATGTTAATTCATTACAATTCTTCGCTTTTTTTGCGTGGGAAATTTTTCTCATGTTCCATCAGGTCCTGTTCCTTAATAATAAATAGAATTTGAAGATATTCGAATCCTTGGTAATAGATTATAGATTATGAATTCCAAACGTATTTCCTGCTACTAACAAGTACAATAACTGTTGTGAACTCAGGAGGACTTGCGTGCACCATCATGTAACACTAGCTGCATAACCGGAAGAGGCAACAGTATATAGTAACTAAGAGCCATGGCTTTGCAGTCACACTGCCTGGTTCAAAGCATGAATCATTCTCTTCAGCTTATTCTCCATGTCAGCTTGGAGAGTTTATTGAACTCTCTGTGTCTTACTTTCTCAACTGTAAAAAGGAAGTAATGATAGTACTTGCCATATAGGATTAATGTAAGAATTAAATGTGTAAGCCATAAAAAACATCAGAATAAACTCTCAATAATGTTAGCAATTAGAATTATTTCTAATTGATGACTTAATTCACTCTTTTCTTTATATAATGGCCACTTCAAAAGTATTAGAAACTGCTTGTAACTCCCAGGGATAATAAAAGCACTAAGTCAAGCAAGTGACTGTTGGAGCAAAGCAATAATGATTAGCCATGCTGTGTATTTACCTCATTTCATATACTTTCTCTGTCCACTGCATCACGGCCTCACTGGCCTAGAACTTGCCAAGTGGTTCCCCATCTCCAGGGCTGCTCTTCTCTGTTCCTTCTGCCTGGAAAGATCTTTGCTCCCTCTTTATGTCACTCATCCTCATCCTTCATGCCTCAGCTCAAATTTCTCCTACATGGAGTGGTCTTCTCTAACTGTGTAAAGCAGACCACCTTTGGCATCTGCTATCACGTCGCTCTCTTGATTACCTTCCTGGCATTTACCAGCTATCACGTCGCTCTCTTGATTACCTTCCTGGCATTCACCACACTCTGCCTGCCTTCATCTGTGAATTTGTTGACTAACTGATCTTCTGGCATTACTTTTAGAAAGTGAACTCCAGGAGTGCAGGGACCGTGCTCACCATTCTATTCCTAGCACTAAGCACAGTACCTTATTCATGGAAGTGTGGAAATGAACAGCCCAGCCAGATGAGAGCAAGCAAAGGCTATTTACTCAGAGCTTGCTATCCACAAGGAGTCACCACCATCACTTGTGTTTTGGCAGAGACTGAAAAGCAGGCAGAGGACTGGGAAAGTTCTACAGGGAAGAAAAGGGAAGGCTTCAGGTGCACTGTGAGAGGAGGCTGGTGGCGTTGGGAAGCTCGAAGCAGGCTAACTAGGAGTGGGGAGTGTGATCGCTTAGGCGTGTGTATTTGGCTTTCTCTGATTGGTCCGAAGCAGAGTCAAAAATTAGGGAAGCTATCAGTCATCAAGTCTCAGCCACTTGGGGCCAGTTGTTACAGAAGTTATTGTTTAGTTTTTCAGATTGTTGCCAGAGCTAACAGTCTGACTTCCACAAGTCTGACTTAGAACAGGCTGACTTCTTGGGGTGTTTATTGTAGGAAAGGGTTGGTTTCCTGGGCAGCTTGTGAGTCAGAGTTCTTTTCTGAAGTGGTCTGGCCATTGCCCATTGGCACATTCAGTCCCTCAGAAGTCAGTCAAGTATGTACGTATTTGTTGAACGAATGTGCCCAACGTCATGCTTGATTTGTTGGACAGCACTCGGCAGAGTAGGTACCAGTTACCTCCATTTGATAGAAGACGCTGAGACTTGGAAGTTTATCACAATGCCAGTTGACTCATCATAAAAGCTAAGCCAGGAGGAAATGCATCCTGAGCTTTTTGGTAGCCAAAACAAGAGGGACAGGAAAACACACCAAGCTATTGATAACTACAGGTTTTCCATGCACTTGACTCCAAGGGAGAGTTAACCATGTAAATTTTGTGAAAAGAACTTTAAATGGTACCTTCAATTAATTTGAGATTCCTCTTATGACCATTCCTCACACTGACTCTTTGTGAAGGCCGAGGCTGTCTCCTCATGGAGTTCACATTTTCATACTAGTCTGGGAAGGCACTTCTATCAGGTACAAAGTTCCCTCAAAGGGCAGTCCAGGCGTGGAGCTTTCTAGAGATACTTCAGAGGGGAGTAAAGTTTTAGAAACAGTAGTAAGTCTACTATAGATGCTGGTCTAAGTTTGGAGTGTAAAGGGCAGTCATGTAGAATGAGAAGCAATAGCAACTGAAAAGATTTCATCAGTAACTAAAGGTGAAAGTGTTGTGGAATTCAGGAAACAGCTTGTAGCTCAGTGCAGCTGGAGAACAGAGATGGGCGGTAGGGCTGGCACACAGGTGAGCTGAAGAATACAGGGCTGAGCCTGGAAAGATAAACAGGGAGAGACTGTGGAGAGCTATGAATGTCACTGAGAAAATGTTTGACCTAAATTCTGTAAGCAATGGGGAAGCATTCAAACCTTTCAAATAGGAGATGGGTATTTTAGTGGCCGTATGGAGGAATGAAATAGCAGAGACTGAAGGAAGGCTTTGACACCAGTTCTGAGTTTACTGAATTCTCCAAATGAGAGGATATAATGGGTGGAGAATGGCATCGATGGATCTGTAAAAGAGAGGATAAATTTCAGAGAAAAGAGGAGATGCTCTTCACTCTTTCACTTGAGAATATGCCTCCCACAAATAAAAAGGCATATGCTAAAATCTGTTCAACTAATCTCTTAAGACTGTGAGAATTTGAGCAATTAAAATTGGTCATATACTAGTCACAAGAAACTATCACTATATTTTCCGTTTGTGTAGAACAAGTTCCTATACCACAGTGCACTAAAATTAGATTAGTAAATATGATACAGAAAAAAAACAAGTCTTTTTTAAGAGCTAATAATAATTTAATTGAAAAATATAGTAAACTTAGACTTTTTACAAAATACTGAAAGGGAAACCTTATTTATTAAATGTGTAGGGTAAAGCCAAGTTTGTACTCAGGAAATGTTATATCTTTAAGTGTTTTCCTTTATTTAAAAAGGGTTCAATTCAAAAAGCTGGGAAAAACAACAAAATGAATATATGAAATACAAAAGAAAGAAAATAATAAAGATAAACTTAGTTTGAAAGTAATAAAACAATTGAGTTGATGAATGAATATAAAAGCTGAGTATTTTAAAAAAATTAATGAAATCTGATGTCTGATAAAGCAACAAAGGGAAAACATAAATAAATCTAATAGTACTAATACAGAGATATCAGTGCAGATAAAAAGAATATTTTTTAATGAGTATATCCATGCTTGTACTAAAAGCTAAGTCTGTGCTAAGTCTGTGCTAAAGTCTGAATGAAATGGTTGATTATCTAGGAAATTACAATTGATCAAGGAATCCTGATGACCTTAAAAGAAACAGGTAAAAGTAACTTTAAAACTGAGTTCCTTCAAGTCTGTATAAAGCAAATCTGATTCAAAGTATATATACTTCTGGATCATAAGGAAAGATAGAAAGCTCCCCAATTCACTTAAGATATTCTCATAATCCTGATATGAAAATCTAATGAAGACAGAACAAGAAGAAAACTACCATTGCATTTATGAAAGTAGCTGTAAAATTCTTAATGAAAATGCCTCAGCAAACTCATACTATGTAAGAATTAAGAATTAAGAAAAATGTGAACATCACTAAAGAAAATGTGCAGAGAACAAGGAAAATTCACAGGGGATATATAAATAGCTAGCAGTCATATGAAAAAAATGTTAAGCTTCCCAATCCAATCTCAAATTAGCTACAATTCTGAAAAAAGATAATAACCAGTGCTGATGAGAATCTGTTGAGACATTTCCATGTGCTCTGAGTGGGAGGGTAAATTGCTCTTCAGAAAGTTTGTCACTTTGGCAAAATGTAATGAGTGTTTTACACAATTAATCCTTTAATCCAGTAATTTCTCTAATAGAAATATTTCTAAGGAAATAGCTAGAGATGAGAATGAAGATTTGACATAAGAATGCTAATTGAGAAATTTATATTACAGTAAAAATTGGAAGTAATTAAATGTGGAATATTAGAAAAATGGTTAAATCATGCTAAGTCCATACAACTGATTATTAGGTTGCTATTAAAACTAATGTTTAGGTAACAAGTGACATTATGCCAATAAGTGTGTATGCTTGTATATTCATATAGAGTTTGTTTTTTAATTAGTAGGACCACAGTATACAGTATCTACGATGTAGAAATGAAAAGGGCTTACCGTGCTGCCTAAGGGACAAATAGAAAAGAATTCCAAAAGATGTGTTTCCAGAGCACACCTCAGCAATAGAGACCCTTGGTTGCCCTAGGCTGCTAAGCAGAAACTCACCTAGAGATGTAAATTCCAGTAAAACTAAAGAATCCTTTAGGTCAAAACTTACCTGTGTCTTTCTATGCATCACATCAAACCACATTAAAAGTTAAATCTCTTTAGAGTTTGAACCTCCTAGAGATGAATGAAGCTATTTAAAATATGTTGTGAGTGCCTTCTTCATGCTAGGTCATTATGATTCTTTGGAATCATAAAATTTATAAACCAGCAAGAGTCTGCAAAATTAGCAGCGTGTGTCTGAAATTATTCTATTGTTTCATCATAGATTGTGGGAGTTCAATTGCTGCTGCTTTGAAACAGGGGTCCTCATTGAGTATTCAAGCCAA